AAAACACCATATATAACGGTGAATCACTGACAGGGACCAATTGTCAATACTTTTTATACTTTAAGTACATTCTGCTGCTAATACTTACATACGTTTACTTCAGTGAAGTTTTGAATGCAGACGTTTACCTGTAGCTGGAGTATCATCACAGTTTGGTATTAGTACTTTTACTTAAGTCATTGATCTCAATACTTCTTCCACTACTTGGAGCCTTGGAGGTTGGAGTCCAGAATGCCTGTTTAACTAATTAAATTGACTCTGGGCCTCAGTAAACCAATCAGTCGACAACAGTTGATTCCAATTAAGCTAACGATTACCCCTCTTGACCTTTGCTGAAGAAGCGCAGTGATATTATAAGTATATTTTATAAGTGTATGACTCACAGAAAGAAAATGAGATTCTTGTTTATTTGTTATTCATCATGAGGGTCTATAAAATGAGATTTTAGATGTGTATTTACATTCTAAGTTTAAAAGAGTCACACTTTTTCCTCCCATCTCTTCACTCAACCCCAGTGCAGTGCTTGTTTGGAGCCACTAGAGGGCAGCAGAATACAACAGGGGACTTTCGGAAGGACCAAAAAAATTAAGAAAAAAAAATGAATGAAGCTCACTTTTTTAACCTCTAACAAATTAGTGTATTCCTTTGATTCTGGCTCATCTACATGTCTTTTTCTTTGAACTTAAGGCTGTCACTTTGTCTAAAATGTGGCCATAATATATCATTAAACTATACGTGTTCATTTACATTTTTTTAAATGTTATTTTTCAAATCAATCTGAATTGGTGTTCAATTTGACACCAAACTGGGGTGGCCAAGCAATTTTTAAGGGTGACGGCCACCTGCCTGCCACCCCAAAGGACTTAGCTTTTGGAATGGATGCCATTTACAAAGGTTTGATGATATTTAATGGAAACACTGAAACATCTCTTCCATTGTTCAAAGGTAAATTTTTTCCATTCAGCCTGTCAACCTGCTGCAGGTCGCATATTAACCATATATAATCCATGGTTTGGATGTTGTCTTCAAATTACAGTTTGCTTTATTATTTGCAAAAAATAAGAAATGACTAATTGTTCTTTCTGTGGACTGTTGGAAACAATCTCCCACTCGTTTTGGAGCTGTCCTTATGTTGTTTTTTAACAGTTTTCATAATGTTTTATTATTTAGATGGGTTGTTTATGTCTGCAACTTAAAACAAAATATAAATATTTTATCTCAGTACATTTTATAACTGAGTCATAAATAAACTTAATTAGCACTCTACCAACCCCAAAGTCTTAAAAACTCTAATATATGTGAATTGTTTAGTATTTTCTTTGTTTTCTTTATACTTTAACCTCTATTCAAATAGCTGAGGACTTTGTTCCAGGCTCAGTGAGTTTTAGGGCTTTAGAGGGGAAACAAATCCTCAGAAACATTTGGAGGACCAACGTGAAAGAGCAAAACGTGTTAAATCAGACAAAAGCGACGTAGTCAAGATAACCTTTTAAAACACTTGTCCATTTATTAATCAAAATGACAAAAAGGTAGCTGGAACAAGAGACACAATCGACAGAATCAACATTCAAATTCTGACAAATACGGCGGTTTCTGTAAAGTGCCAAACAAGAAAAAAGCCTCACTTATAATATATATATATATACTGTATACACACACACACACATACACAAACACCACATAGAAAACTAGATTCTTAATACACACAAACATTAGAAACCATATAAAAACAATGTCTATACCAAGTAGATTCTGTTCTAAATGATTCTGGCCGCTGCAGGGCCTCGAGTGTTTCCTGTTAAAAAAAAACAACTAAAAAAAAAAAAGAGGCGTTTGATCAGTAGTTCATCTGCGACTCGGGCTTTTCTCTGAGAAACCAAAGTCATGAGTGCTCGTACACACTGTGCAATTTTCATCAGTAAAAACCGTTAAACCCACCCCGCCACCCCCGATCATCTAATACATTCTAATGCCGATCAGAAACGAGAGGTTTCTGATGAAGGCACGCCACAGGAAGGTCCGTTCCTGCTGGCGCTTTGTCCGGCGCCACGGACACGAACCTCCCACCTAGATATCATTTATACAAAAATCAGACACAACTGTCCACCAGTGGAAGGAATGATCTCACTGGGGAGGAAAATGCATCAGAAACCATGATTTGTGTTCCAGTTGTGTCACAGCTTTGGTCGCCTGTACAGGCTTCACAAGCTGCTTCGCCATGAACACAAACCGAATCCTTTTCCTGCAAATGTTCACAGAAGTGCCTTTTACTAAGTCATGGCTATGTCCTTAAATCTTACGTTGACCTAAAAAAAGCTTTGAGGTTATTGTTTGAACACGTTTTTTTTTTAAACTAAATTCTATCCTTTGTTCTTTAAAAGTCAGTTGACACGAATGATTTTGTAACGGCTGTACGTGTAACGAAGGTGAAAATGTAAACATTGTGCAAGTTTTAGTGTTGACCAGGTACATGGAGCGGACCTCTCAAACAGACCATTGAATCGGAACCACACACACAGGGCGGGACATCTTTCACCCTTTCGGATTAAAAAAATAAAATACAAAGACTATTAAATAACATACAAAAACAAACAAACAAAAAGTAATCTGAAGACAAACAAATGGCCAAAAATGAGAAGCCTGATGAGGATTAGTGATTCTGAGCTCCAACAAGTGCTGCTCTGTGATGAAGCTGTGGTTGAGCAGCCTGCTGGCTTTGGCTAAGTCCTCAGAGACCGTTACGTCTTCTGCCTCCTCCTACAGTTCATTTCAAAATACGGGTCCCCACTTTTGCTGTTGCATTGTGGGATCTTCTTGCGGGGCTCGGTCTTAACAGCTTTGACGTTGGGGCTGGTTTTCTGCGGGGCCAGGGGTTGTCCTGGAGTCGCTTCAGGTTTTAGACTGGACTTTCCGTTTATGGGGTTAGTGGCGGCTGCGTGCTTCCGCCCCGCCCTCTGTGCTGTGGCTGGTGTTTTCTGATTGGCTTTGCTGGCGGGAGAAGGGCCTGTGTTGCCCCCCGGGACCCGCCCGGGGGCCGCAGCAGTACTGCGCGGAGGGGCAGCAGCCGCCTTGGTCGGGGCCGGCCCCCTGGCTTTGGCTGTGACCTCTTTGCTCTTCGGCAGGGAGCAGGCGGGTTTTGGCACCACCGGGGAGGCTGTCCGTGAGCTGGGGGTGGGGGTCCGGGTTTGGCCGGTTGTCGTTGCTGCTCTTGGCGTTGGCGTCGCTGCAGCTTTTGTGGCCGTCCAGATCCGCCTGGTCGCCTCTAGACGGAGGCGCGAGGCTGGGGAGC